CACTTTTTGTTTTACTTCTGCATAAACACTGATCTCATATCCCTGGTTACTTTAACATTGAAAGGTGTTTTCTCTCAGCAGCTGTGTGACTAAATGTTAAGAATATGCCAAAAACTTCAAAACAAATGACATTTTTCTAAAAAAAAAAAAAAAAAGAATACTACTTCTGTGTTACAGCAGTCAGGAACTAGAACGGAGTAAGCTACCTAGGTAAAGATTTGTCTAGCAAAGAAAATGAAATACAATAGTCTAGGACAGACTTTGTAAGTCAAGGCCTGTGAAAGAATTAAAAACCTGTAAAAGCTCTGTGTGTGTGTGTGTGTGTGTGTGTGTGTGTGTGTGTGTGTGTGTACATTTGTGCCCAGGACTAGGGAACTGAACTCAAGGCCTCCACACTGATACAGCCCCTATCTGTCTCTATCTAGCTAGCTAGCTTCCTGTCTATCTGTCTGTCTATCTATCTATCTATCTATCTATCTATCTTAGGCAGGGTCTCGTAATGTAGTTCAGGTTGGCCTTGGACTTGCTGTGTAGCCCAGGCTGGTCTTAAACCCTCAGTGATCCTTCTGCCTTACCTTCCCAAGTGCTAGGATTACATGTGCCACCACACCCAGACTCTTTTTAATTTTTTTAAGACAAGTTTTCATTAACTTGCTAAATTGCCCAGGCTTGACTTGGACTCACTATGTAGCCCAGGCTGGCCTCAAGGTCAGTGATCCTCCTGCTTCAGCCTCCCAGAGTATTGAGATCACATGTGGGTGCCACTATGTCGAGTAAAACATTGGCCTTTAAAAATGTTTTAGTTGAGCCAGGCGTGGTGGCGCATGCCTGTAAACCCAGCATTCAGGAGGCTGAGGCAGGAGGATTAGTGTGAGTTCAAGGCTAGCTTAGGCTACACAGTGAGACTCTGTCTCAAAATACTAAAAAAAGAGAAGAAACGAAAAAAGATTCCACTTGCAAACCTTCTGCTGGCCTTTCCTTAAAGACTTCCCATTAGATATCAACCCAGCTTCCTGTACCTGCCAGCTCCCCCTCATCTCATGAATCCCCAAGAAACAGCCGGGGAAGGACAGTCGGGGCCCAGCCTGAGCTACAGAGCCAGAGTGACCGCTAAGGCTTTGTACAGAAGGCAGTCAGCTCAGAGGACAGGAAATCCAAGCTGCCCTGGCCTTAGGCCCTTTTAAATCTCCAGTTATCCTCTGCTTCATGTGCATAATTGTAAGATTCCCTTCTGCACCCCACACACTGTTCTGATGAAGTGCCGGCAGCTCTGTGGAACACACCACCAGACAGGCTCTGCTTTGCCGCGCAGAGCCCCGACTCTCCCCACCCTATGCCCTCGGGGGCCTGGGACTAGGTGCTGGGCCAAGGCCAGTCAGACCACAGTGATCATATCCAGTCCACAGCACCTTCCAGTTTATTGTTTTATTTACAAACAGGGTGAAGTCAACTGGGCAGATCGGGGGTTGGAGTCAGTCTGGGCCGTCCACCATGGAGAGGCTCCTGGGTCAGTCTCCACCATGAAAGCCGCCTCTTCTAGCCTCTTCCTGCTCCTTGGTATTGGCCCGATTCCTCCAGGGCAGTCTCACCTGTTGCTCCTGAGCCCTTTGATGAGGGCAGATGGATCCTGGGGAACATCGTGGTTCGAGGGCTGGGGCCCCCTCAGTTTGTGTAAACCTGAGTTCCGATCACACGCATGATTTCCTTCTGTATCTTGGGGTCCTGAGTATTAATGTTGGCATCGCCCACCTGACCATCCTCATATCTGTCGGAGACCAAGCCAGTGTGAGCGTGAAAGGGAGAACAAGAGCAGAAAAATGTCAACCAGTGGCACTCTATTGCGAGGCACGGCCATCCCACTCTGAAAGTCAAAGCTCTTTCTTACTACTGAGGATTCAACTTACTTGGTCTCCTCTGCACAGCCCACCCCCATCCTCCAAGGTGCAAGTTCTACGGTCAGCTCCACTCGAGCAGCAAGGGACAAGGCTCGGATCACAGACAGCACTTCCCAGTAGTCACAGCACGACAGCACCCCTCACTCAAGCGAGCCCAGGGCCCGCCCCGACTTACACAAAGAAGAACCGTGTGCAGACGTGGTCGGATACAGGGCACACCCAGATGTTCCCGTGCTTCTGGAGGTCCTTGGATGTGATCACTAGACGCAAGTCACAGACAAAAGCCTGAGACACAGGAATCCAGGCAGGTGGAGAAGACACAGCACTCTGAACTCAGCCTTGGCTGGATCCTAGCGGGAGGCTGGGACCCAAACCAGCACGGACTGGCTGCGCTACCTACCTTCACAGAGTGCTATACAGTTGAGATTGCGACTCTGCAGGAACCTGGACTGAATGGATCGGGTCTGAAAGAGGAGGGGCAGAGCAGACACAGGCAGGAAGTTAGAGCTTTGCTCACGGCAGCTTGCGAGCTGGTGATGATCGGGTGTGGGTCCTCGATGTCCAGAGTTGCGGGCCTCCCTCCACAAGTTTGCTTTCCTGGTCAGTGTGGATGGGCCCAGTTTCCAACTTTATCCGAACCTGCCCTCTGCTTTCATACTTGTGACAAAGACCAAAGGCCTCTGAAGTGTGCTCCATTTGGACACGCCCGCTTCCTTTCCCGCAGCCCCACGCCTCCCACCCGTCTCTGCAGCCTGAGGCAGCCCAGGAAGAAGGCTCCGCAGAGCAGGGCCAGTCCCTAGTACCTGGGGGATGGTGTTCATCCTGTTGTACCGCTGGACCAGCTCATCCTTGGAGGGCATCCTGTGCTGTCCTTTTCCCATTCCTGTCACAGAACGACAAGCTTGGGTCAGTCCTCCGTACTTTGGTCGTGTAGTTACACAGACACTCAGCAGTACAACGGTGAATTCCAAGAACAAGCCAGCTGCCCTCACTACACTTAGTCTAGTGGAGATTACAGGCGATGGACAAGAAACCGCAGCACACTATGGGAGGGGTGTGATGGGGAGACCACAGAGCACAGTGTGAGCGCGGAGGGCCACCAGCCAGCCGAGGGGTCTGAAGAGGCTGAGAGGCACAGGCTGCGGGCGTCAGCCAGGGGACAGCCGGGGGAGCCTGGAGGCAGGATAAGGTCACGTGGCGTAGTCTGTACACAGTACAGCGAATGGCAGCAAAGCGGCCAGAAATGATGTGGAAGGGGCGAGGTAGGATCAGACCCAGAGGCCCCGCAGGCCGCGCTAAGGCAACCAGAACTTGTCCTGAGGACAGAGGGAAGCAACGGGCTGCGTGGCTGAAGGGTTCTAAGGTGGGGGCGTAAGGAGCGACGGGAGCCGCGAACATGAGGCCCGCGGTGTCTGTCCCACGGCAGTGCAGCGAGTCAGACATGCTCCAGCACTGCGGTTACCTTCCAACTGGTGAGGGGCGAGGCGGATGCAGAGCACCCACGTGACGACGAATTCTCCACAGGGAAACGCGGTGGCCACTGCCCCGCAGATCCCACCTCCTCAGAAAGCCACCCCACACCGGGCAGAGCAGGGCCGGTGCCCTGGGCTTTCCACGTTACCTAAAATCACAAGGCCTACGCCACCCTTACCCGACACGGAAGAGTCCTTGTCTGTAACATTTACGGATGAGATGCAGAATTTTCTTATTTAGACGTGAAACAGGGCCTGTGTGTCCCCGTGACCTGAGGACAGGACTTCAGTCCCTTAGCTTTATGACGGGCCCAGTCTTATCTGAGCAGGACTGTGTGACCGACAGGGAGAAGAGGAAAAGGATGCTGTCGCTGCAGGCATGAGCAGGGCTCCCAGCTCACACTTCTGCCCTGGACTTTGCGTACCGCCAGCTCCACTCTGTTTTGGTCCTGGTTCTGGGAAGTTACGGGGGAGAGGCAGGGCTGACCGCCGCACTGACAGTCTACTGATCAGGCTGTCACTCACCGTGACTCCACCGAGCCTCACGACAGACACGGCCTGAACAAAACTTAGGACAACGAGACCTTCTCAGTTTGAACTGGCAATTTCTTCCCCACACAGAGCAGACACCAGTTGTTTCTGCCTTCTCCTTGTCCTCAACGAAGATCTAGCCAGGCACAGTGATCCCAGCACTCCCAGCACTCCTAGCACTCAGGAGGCTGAGGCAAGAGGATCGCTGTCCATTCAAGGCCAGCCTCAACTGCACAGTGAGACACTGTCTCAAAAAAACCAAACAAACAAAATAAAACAAAAAAAAAATCTGCTCTGCCTCAAAGAATGTGACCGGCTTAGCCTAAATATTCCATGACAAGGTTCTAAAAAAAATCCCTACACAGGCTTATTGCAGAAGAGGCCAACAGGAAAACAAGAAAGAATAACCTGGCTGAAGCAAGAGGACTGTAAGTTTGAGGTCAGCCTCGGCTATACAGTGAGACCCTGTCTCAAAAATCAAAACCAAAACCAATCTGGTATTCTTCCTTACTTTGCACTACTAAGCTATACCCTCAGGTGCCCCCAACTACTGATTTTTAACTTTGAGACAAGGTTTCCTTAGGTTGCTAAATTGCTCAGGCTGGCATTGAGCTTGTGATCCTCCTGCCTCAGCCTGCCAGAGTACTGGGATTGTAAGTGTGGCAGCACACCCTGCTGAACAGCCTGGTTTCCACAGTGGGCTGTAGAGATAGCCATTATGATGTAACCCGCATCTTGTCCCACCCCAGGCCTGTTACACTATCCTATCTGCTGACCCAGTGGTCTTTCCTCATCCTGATGCAGACCCTGGTAACTCAGTGGCTAGAATCATTTCTGGAAACACTGTGCCCACAGCATGCACTTAGCAGAAGTCCCTGAGCAGAATTAAGCAGACAGCACATACGAACTGCCTTCTCACTGTCCCGCATCCCAACCCGCACACCATGGCCAAGCTGCCGCTGGCTCTGTCAGTCACCAGACACCCCCCGAGTATACTGACCCTCACTCCCAGGAGGCACCCAACATTAACAGGCTACAAGTAGCCTCAGGAAGAAACAACAGAAAACCACAACAGAACAGGCTGGAAGGGAACGCACACGACAACTGATCAAGAGCCACAGAAACTACGGTACGGGGGTGTTGTGCACACTTTCTACCCAGGGTCGTAGAGAGATTTTCAGGTACCAGTATCTGCAAGGACTGCGGAGATCCACTCATTCAAGCAAAGGCTCCCCTGTCAATCCAATACAGTGGTAAGGACACTGGCCTAGAAGTGAGGAGATGTGGACCTGGCCCCAGCTCTGTTCTCCATAGCTATGTCACCAAGATAGAGCCATTTAACTTCTCTGTGTATGAGGCTGCTTATCTTCAAAGTAATAAGGAATTGGACCAGATGATCAAAAACTCCAGTGGTAAAATCCTATGACAATCTGGATAATCATCACCCTCGCAGAGGGGAGAAGGACACTGTCACAGTGTCTTATGTAATCGGTAAAGTGTCGAGCAAAGACAAGAAGTCCACAGAGATCCCTGACTCCGTGTGGCAACTCACGTATTCAGGCCCGAAGTGGTAAACAGCACCAGTGGGAGAGAAGGGCAGGCAGAGGTGGAAACGGTACGGACACAACTGTGGGCAGCAAGATTCAGGGGAATCTCACTGCGTCACTCGGGAAGGAATAAGAGCTTAGTCGGAGGGATGCTTTGGCTGGGAAAAGATAAAAACTGAGGACTCTAGACAAAGAAGCCAGAAAGACCTCACTCCTACCCCAACTTTGGATCTCATTCACACAGAGTGAGACGCACCCGCATACCCAGTGTGTACAAGCCAGCATTTGCCCTGTGTGGTTAATCATAACCATTATTTTATGGCACATTGGTCCTTTTTAAAATTTTTTCTCTTTGATTCACAAATTTTACTTATACAAAAGTATCATCACATTAATATAGAAATAATTTTTACAACATTTAAAGTAATAAGGACCAGGGATATAGCTCAGTGGCATAAGCGCCTGCCTGGCAAGCATAAGGTCCCGAGTTCAATTCCCCGTACCCAAAAAAAGAGGAATGTTTTCCAACATTTAAAATCATAGTTTAAGCCAGGTGTGGTGGCACACATCTGTAATCCCAGCACCGAGGCAGAAGGATCATTGTGAGTTTGAGACCAGCCTGGGCTATAAAGTGAGTTCAAGGCCAGCCTGAACTGCATAGTGACACCTTGTCTCACAAAGACCATAAATCAATCAATCAATCAGTCAGTCATAGCTTAATTTTCATTGTAGCAATTATAGTTTGTAGTACATTCTACAACTGCTTAAATATTGATACAGAATGTCTAAAGTGATACTTTAAAAATTACATATTTTGGAGAAATAGCATTCTATACCTTAACTACTTTTTTATGCAATTAGATGGTTGCTATTTGAGCTTCATTATTATAGTTCTTTAAGGATACCAATGAGTGCCTAATTATCTGTTCTTCAGGAAAATTCTACAAGAATTAGGTTAGATTATAGGACTATTTTTATGACTCTTGAACTCTGCCATTATGAGTTCTAACAGCGTCTTCATGCCAGGTGTGGTGGCACAGGCCTGTAACCCTAGCACTTGGGAGACTGAGGCAGGAGGAGCACTGTGAGTTTGAGGCCAGCCTGGGCTATAAAGAGAGCTCAAGGCCAGCCTGAACTGCATAGCGCGATCCTATCTCAAAAAGGCAAATAAATAAATAAAAGTGTTTTCATGTTTTACAAACACCTGGTGACTACCAATTTTAGTACATCCTTGGCAGCTTTGAATATTTCATTTTTCATGACTGTACAGGTATAAAATTTTGCTTCATTATGTTGTTGTTTTTTTTTTTTGGTTTTGGTTTTCCTCCGGTACCGGGAACCGAACTCACGACCTTGCGCTTGCCAGGCAGGTGCTTTACCGCTGAGCTAAATCCCCAGCCCCTTCATTATGATCATATGGATTTTTAAAGCGACATTTGGGCACTAAAGTACTAACATGATTAGCAGTATTTTCAGGGACTGGGGCTACAGCTCAGTGGTCCTTACCAAACATGCAAGAGGTCCTAAGTTCAATCCCTAAGACAGCCAAAAAAAAAAAAAAAAGTATGATTTTAAGTAGCTTTTATCTTCACATAGATGGAAACCTTCTCTCATGTGTTTTCATTACATTTTGCTTCACTCCAACGCATCAGATGCTGTGCTAGGTGCAGGAGGTCTCATGTTCTCAATCTGTCCTCTGCCACTCACCACTGTCACATTTGGAGTTCACAGATTCGTCCACCCAGCGCATCCCTTACCTTCATGTCTCCAAGGCTGCTCTGTCAACCTCTCCCCTGGCATTTCTAGCATGACACGGTTGCACCTGAGATCCTCAGGAGTAATTTTTTTTTTTTTTTGAGACAGGCTCTCCCTATGCAGTTCAGGCTGGCTTTGAGTTCACTTTGTAGCCCAGGCTGGCCTTGAACTCACAATGATCCTCCAGCCTCAGCCTCCTGAGTGCTGAGATTACAGCCATGCTGCCACCACGCCCAGCGAGGGGTAACTTTCTTTTTTTTTGTTTTTTTTCCGGGACCAGGAATCGAACTCATGTCCTTGCGCTTGCCAGGCAGGCGCTGTGCCACTGAGCTAAATCCCCAGCCCCGGGGTAACTTTCTTGATGCTCAAAACCTGAGTTCTTGTTTCATCTTCCTTAGAATAACTTACATTGTCACCAATGGCTATGTCAACAGTGACATCATCATGCTTTTTTCCACCCATGGTCCACCAAACCTCATCGTGAGTCTTCAATAAAGCTAAAACAGAGCTTTTAGGTGCAGGGGTGAGTAGCTCCTCTCCTGGTTCTTTCTCATAGATAACATGATCACTGGGGAAAT